ATTAAGAACCTCTTTCGATAATTTGAAGAAAAAGCTTACTGATACAGGCTTTGTTTTGACAAGGTTCAAGATATTAGAACAAAAGTAAAACATTTTACAAAATTTGATGGGATGGATTTATTTCAGTAAGTCAAAGATTGAAGCGCAGTTGAATTAAATCACAAAGATGACAAAACAGTCTGGTTAGATTTGTCGAAAAAGCTATCACAATCTCAAATATGACAAGATTCAATTATAAAAATGATAGTATTCAAACAAATGATGTCTGACACTATGAAAGATGAACGCTGAATACAAACAACAGCAGAAGTGAAACCTGAATAGCTGAATAATATTTGTCGATAAGAATAGGATTATTTTATGCTACTGAAAGTACAGAAAGTGTAATACAGGAATAAGCAACTCGACAGCAGTAGATGCGTGTATGATGTACGTCTTGAAGAACTTGAAAATCGACATTCACTGCTTGTTTGGTCATTGATGCATAAGAAGTGTTTGAATTCACTGGAAAAAAAGAAGCGCAGAAAACGTAAATCAAGAAGATTTACAATCCATTTCTAGTCAAACCGAATTTAATCATAAAACTATATACTGCTGATTCATTGAGATGAGTATTTGTATATCACTCACTCATATCGACCAGTAGTGTTGTTAGTCACAGCCAGATAGAGGTTATCTGAACATTGGACCGCCGAAGTGTGTGGATGCTGGATTGCTAACCGATTTGAAAATTGTAAACATGATTTAATGGCATACCAGTTTGACCAAGTCGCTAGCCAGAAATCGGGTGTCTTGAACTAATTCCGCTCTCTGAGTTGCGTCCATCCAGGCAAACTGGTGACGAGTTCTAAACCAGCAAAATGACCATTGGGTTTTTCTATCACCTCCATCCGGCTGGCTAGTAGGTACTACTATGAGTGGTGTACTACTGTAACGACAGAAGACAAGGGCCTGGCAACAGATCATTTACTGAGAAAATCAACAGATGCTTATTGATTTTTATTTACACTATTATTCGTTATTGTTAGCAGAGAAGCAACGTCTTCTGATTGGTTGTTTTCTTGCTAAAGGTTATTCTGTCATCTCTTTGTGGCCGTTTCCTAGGCAGTTCGGTCATATATCTGCGAACAGTATCCGCCCATGTCAAGTGTTCTGTGATTGGTTGATGAGTTCATCAAGATTACGCTTTGTTTTTGTTTTTTCTCATGATCCCGATTCGGGACGTGAACATTGATGTAAATTGTTGTCTGCAATTTTTGGCTTGCAGCTACCTTTCGTCACACTACTACCTACCTCAGTTAACTAGTAGTGTGCAGTTCTATGTAAATATACTTGAATACTTGATTATCATTTATCATTTGGAAATCTGCACTGCACTAAGCATAAGGAATAATATCCTCATTTTAAACACAGATATGAAGTCGATTCTTCTATACTGGTCAGAAACTTGGCTAGCGTGTCACGGAAAGGATTTCCAACAGCCTGTTGCAGACTTTTATCAATAACTGCCTCCGCTATCTTCATACTGAAGATCAAATACCGGCCAGAAAGAATAAGCAAAAAGAAACTCTGGCTGAGGAACAAACCAACCAAGAGTCGATCACTTTACAAATACTTAGGAGGAAGTGGAGATGGATCAGGCATACATTGAGGAGGCCGCTGAATGACATCGTCAGCCAGGCCATCGCCCGAGTGGAATCAGAATGGGAAGCGACGAGTAGATCGTCTGTGCTAGGGTGACATGCAAGAGACCGTGTGAGGAAGAGATGAGCGAGTTTGGTCAATCGTGGACCCAGCTGAAGAGGATGGCAGAAAACGTAACAAAGTGAAGATGTGTTGTTGCAGCCCTATGTTCCACTCGGAAAGCAAAGGAATAATAATAATAAATGTAGCAGGCAATGATGGATTTACCGAAGTCAATATTCTTTGTTCATTAATCAGTCTTCTTAGTAGGTGATAAGATTTACAGTTTGAAAAACTCATTATCTTTGAACTTACGGCGGATCATTAATACACTGATAAGTGATCATTTTCGACCTCACTATCGACTCTAACTTTTTAATATTCGGTGATTCACATGTGTGACTACAAAAGAAGAGAATTAGGGAGACATGAAATAAGCATAACATAATATACAGTAAAATAAGTTACCAAGAAATTCTTAGTGCTAACGGCAAGTTTTCAGGTTATAACAGTGATAGGTTTTATTTCCATTAATGCAGAAAATGTTGTACTTCGACACACTGCCGTCAATTGGACTGAGATATTACAATATCACTCGTTGTTCTCTTCGCACAGAGTATAACTGAAAAGCAAGGGGTTGTGACCATCTGAGAAAAACAGATTTCAAGTAATTCAAGAATGCTTAATCATCAAGTGGCTTCACTCTCCTGTGGATAGGTAATTATTTCTATACCACCAGTATAAGAAGAGGCATATATACTGGGAAACTCAGGTCGATGTCAGTAAAAAATGACAAAATGTTATTCATTCTTGTGAGTTACCCTAATAAGTGTTTCGTTTTTAGGTATTATGCCCCCTTGTTTTTTTCTCCCGACAAACATAGAATCTTCACTTGCATATCATACAGTCGAAGCGTATATATATGTATATATCACACTTTCGTTGGAGGATTTCATCATGAGCTGACATCAGCTAGAGAAATATTGGAAAACCTGGGAGTACTGGACAGCCGTTTCGTTCTGTTTTAGGGCTTTTCAGCTAGAGGTCGAACCCAGGACCTTCTGGTTACATAACGAGTTCGTAGACCATTAAGCCACTGGGATCCGATTCATTGGCCCATGAATTCTAACTTCTGCGTACTGATGAAGAATCCTAAAATAGGACGAAACAGCTGGCTGTCCAATACTCCCTGATAGTTTTCTAATGCTTCTCTAACTGATGTCAGCTCATGATGAAATCATCCAACCAATCAAACAAAATAATCCCTACAAAACTAATACTTGGAAATATCACACATAATACAGTCAGAAACATGAAGGAATCGACAAATCAGATGAAGGCGAAAAGTGGAATTGCAAATCACTATTTACTACTAATCCAAATTAGTAGTTTGAAGTCAACCATGTAAACGTGTAGAATTTACTATCTAATATTAGGTGAACTAAACACGAGGCAGTGGTTTCCTAGTATGGGACTAGTCTCATCATTAGTGTAATCGGTTTAGTCCAGCTCAAAGAAATGAATCACTTTCACTCAGCATATGGATTCTATCTAATTACTTGGTCGGATTGGTGATACATTAGATAAAAAGTATTCAGACCATCTCTTTCTGGTTGTTGAGCACTAGTATTTAACATGAGTACTCACCAATTACTCATAAAATGGGCGTCAGTGGCACAGCGATAGAATGCTGACCGATCACGCCTCATTTGGTCCGAGATTCGATCCCCGGCCACCGATGCACTCCCTTACCTCACTAAGCCATCGATAAGACGGGTAAAGAAGGAAGGTTAGATAAAACTCACAACTTAATAAACAACGTCTTCAACGACATCAAATTCACAAGAGATGAGGAATCCGGGAACAAAATCCCATTTTTAGATGTCTTAGTAAAGCGAACAGCCACAGGGGAATTAGAAACTCTAGTCTATAGAAAATCAACTCACACAGAACAAATACTGAATGACAACGGCAACAATCCAATAACACACAAAAGGAATTGCATACAAACACTATTCAAGAGGGCCAGCCAGGAATTATTGCATCACTCCCACCTTAAGGAAATTTGAAGATAGATATCTCATGGACGTCTTCCAAAAGAATGGATATCACGGAATTTCATCAAAAGACATATACCCCCAAGCCAACCTATCAAACCAAAAGCCCTCAAGGAAAGCACACAGAAAATCGCCTTACCATATATAAAGGATATCTCAGAAATCACTACAAGACTCTTCAAACCTTTAGGAATTGACGTCGCACACAAACCAACAAAATCACTTCACTCAGCTGGCTCTATGTCAACCAAAAGACTCAACAACGAAAGAAGATAAAACCAACATCATCTACAAAATAAACTGTAACAAGTGCGAAAAACACTACATTGGCCAAAGTGGACGTCCCCTTCGTCTTCGTATCCACGAACATTAGCTAGCCGTCAAAAGACATGACATCCACTCCCTCGCTCATATCACTACATACAGACAATCACGGACATCAATTTGACTGGGACAACCAGTGTTCAAATATTAGACAGAGGAAACAACAAGAATGCTAGAGAATTTTTAGAAGCCTGGTCTCGTATTCCAGTGAATCGTCAATCAATAGACACATCGAGATAAACAAAATTTATCAACTGATAAGAAAGAAACCTCACACACAAAGGGTCAAAGTTCAAGTCAAAGAAGCAATCAGTTCCAATACAAGTAGCCACCTAGAAGGTGTGAAAACACACAAAAACAACCAATCACTTTCAAGGTCACCCATCAGGAGAGATGAATAACAAACTCGTGGAGAAATCTAAAAGCTCACTTCATGAAATTGAAGTATGCACTGAAGATGTCGCCTAGTGGGGCGACGAAACCTTCGCAAGTTAACTATTTAGCTTAGAGAACACAACCACATAAAAATTATCCACCTGAGCTATAAATCGTCTCTATCATATGTGTCGATTTTTTACTGTGTGTTTAGGAATGATTCATTAGAATAATCACTCGATTGATCGAGGTATCATTTAACATTATTAAATATAGGAAAATATTGAGTGAGTATTCAAGAATGATTGACTGAGAGGTTGTCTTTTAAGTTTACCCCGGCATATCTCCCTGACTGTGAGAAATTAAAATGAAACTTGAGGTACAAGTATTCATCTTTGGCTTATTACTATTCCTGCTGAACATTTTGGACAACATTCCTGGCTAAAACAGCTGTTTACAAGTATATTTTGTGTGATGGGTGTTACTTTAAACATAAGTATACATTAGGAAAAAGAATTACATAACATTCGTCTTATAATATTACACAATGGATGAACTTACTGATATGGCGATTTTCTTGTGTTGTGAATTAATTTAACGGTTATTTTTTGCACTTTCGTTTTTAAAAGTTCTGGAAGTTCCACAGTGGCAAAGGTACTTGGAAAGATAAGGATGAAACATCGAAAAATGTGATATATTTGAAGGTTTAGGTATTTTTTAGATAACAAGGAAAATACCCAATGGGTCATGAATAAAGAAAAAAGTGATTCAGCGGAGAAAGTACCTATGCTGTATGAAGTCACGTTCAAAGTCTTTGCAATCGTGCTTATATTTACGAGAAGTTAAATTTGTCTATTAGCTCATTAAGTCAGCAACATCATGCCCCCACCTCCCTGATGTGAATACACCTTTGAAAATTGATTTCATCGATCATGAAAGTTCCCCACCCCCCCCCCCGATGAATTGTCTTCTGTTTCATCCATGACTGAAACCTTCTTGTATGATAAAGCTTAACATTTTTTTCGTTTTTCGATAAGTTGGATAACAGGTAATGCAAACACGGGACTACTTGATTCAGCTTTGAAGTTTATTTCTTCGCACATTGAAAGATGGACGTTTATCTGAATATTCGGATACCTATTTATGTTTTTGTTAGATTGGTGCTATAAAGCTTATTAAACAAATCTTTTCATATACCTTGCATGCTTTTCAATTTTTCGAAGATATTAATGAACTTATTCAACTGGATTTAATATTGTTTTTATTTAGTTAATGGTGGCAATTAATATTATTCAGGACGTGTGTTTAGTCTCATTTGGGGTGCAGCAGCTGTGTGTACTGACATAATCAATGCGTGATGGTGTGGTCGCTGAGACTCAAACTCAGCAATTGCCGTTTCAAACGCCACTTTTTTATTCTCTTACGTTCCCGGTGGAACACAGGGTTTCAAGATAGAGGCTTGAAGTTTCAGTAGTTTCGGGACTGGGGTTGCCAACCTCATGCCCAACCTTTCCACTTTATCAGTTTAATCAATGGCTTAGCGAAGTAAAGGAGTGTGTCTCTGGCCGGGGATAAACTCTGGACCACATGCGTAGTCGGTGAGCATTGTACTGCTGTGCCACCGACGCACTTTAAACGCCATAGCGTTATCCAATACACCACCTACAAAAGTGAGCCATATACTGTGAAACGGATGTCAGTCGCGATTTTGTGAAGTCATTGCTTCTTGAATGACAACGCTGCAACTTATAACATCGAGTTAACCTTCAGAATCTTATATAATTTACTGATAAACCCGAAGACATACTACATGCTTTGCAGGGATCAACAGACCTTTCAGTGATGTTAAATAACAGTTTATTAAGATTCTATAATGTATTCAGATTTCTATGGCCTAACCGTTCACTGAGTAAATAAATGGTTCTTAGTAGTAGTGAGAGGTTGCTTTATTTCCTTCGTTCGATATAAGAATAAAACTTGGGCACTGTGGTAGAGTGTAATTCCATTATGGGTAAATTTTATTTTGATAGAGTCTCACAGTGTTATACAGTAATATTTACTGATGACGTGTCGAGCACAATTTATTGCTCATAATCATTCGTTCGATGTTACACTGTAATGTCTACCCTACTTAACATTTCATCACCCAACTTTAGAGGTCTTTACTTTGTCACAGCAAGTTTTTAATATATCAACTTCACTCACTCACTACCACATGAAATAAAGCACCAGTACTGAGGACAGAAATGGAGACCAGTATCTTTTACTTAACACTGGATTATATCACACCGTTACCATGAACCACATGTGGACTTAGATTGTAGATTCAGAAACAACACCATTTGTAGAACCGTAATCACTCATTTTGCACTAACTTTAATGTATCTCTTAAGCACAGGCCAAACTGTCTCGGAGCACAACAATTCGCAACAGATTATAAAACTTATTTTACAGAAATACTGAGAAGGTAATTTAATAGTGAATTTCAGTATTTGTTAGGCCCTTTCACTATAAAGTAAGTGTTGACTAGTCATCAGATAGTGTTTCTCTTCTTGCTTGAGTACACATATCACAAATAAGTGAGGAACAGTGACTTGTTTTTTATATATTATTATTATTGCTCCCTTGGGTTCCTAGTGGAACATAGGGCTTCAACTACACGTCTCCACTTGCTTCTGTCTTCTGCTGTACTTCTCACCTGCATCCATATTAGTCCATACTGTTTCAACTCTTCTTCACATGATCTCCTCCATGTCACCCTTGGACGTCCCACTCGCCGCTTCCCTTTCGGGTTCCACTCGAGCTATGGCCTGACGCGCGATGTCACCCAGCGGTATCCTCAGCTCAGTGAGTGTCCAATCCATCTTCACTTTCTCCTGCATGTTTACTGGGCGATTGGTTCTTGTTTTGTTTGTTCCCATAGTTTCTTGTTGGTGATTCTTTCCGGCCATCTGATCTTCAGTATAGAACGAAGACAGCTGTTGATGAAGGTGTGCAACCTGTTGGAAATATTCTTTGTGACAAAATGGCCAAGTTTCTGATCCGTATAGAAGTACTGACTTGACGTCGTTTGTATTGAAAATTCGAATTTTGTTGTTGATGCTGAGTTGAGTGACGAAGACTTCCAGATTGATTTCAGGTTGATGAATGTGTTTCTCGCCTTCTCGATTCTCGATTTGACATCCTCATCCGTTCCTCCTGTAGTTGAGACAATGGTCCCTAGATAAGTGAATGAAGCAAACTCTTTCAAATCCCTCCCGTCGATGGTGATTGGCGCTGGATGTTGTTGCTGTTGTTGATGTTGTTGGTTGGCTATTTTCATAACCTCCGTCTTGTCTATGTTCACCTGGAGTCCCGTCTTTGCTGCTTCTTCGACCAGTTTTTCAGCTTTCGCTTGTAAGTCTTCGATTTTGTGTGACATCAAACATAAGTCATCCGCGAAATCTAGGTCTTCTAGGTTCTTCACGTCGGTCCCTGTCTTCTCGTTTCCTACTGTCTGACGCATAATCCAGTCCACCACAATTAGGAATATCATTGGTGATAATAAGCACCCTTGTCTGACTGGTGTGTTTACTCCAAACGCCTCGCTGAGTTTTGTTTTTTATGGCCTAATAATAATATGTATACGTATTACTTTTCACCGATAGGTATGGGGCATTCCCATGTGGTGTAATTAAGAATACATAAGTCAGCAAACAGATATCCCCTGGTAATTTCCCTTCAAACCTGTACAGCTATTTAAGGATTTATGTATATATGCGCAATGTTAACTGACAGTGGAGATCAGAGGTTTATGGAAGTTAGTAACAAAACAAGTGGAAGTGTATGTGAGCAAACGCCATTCACTGATTTTCACAGCTTGATATTTGAAGTGAAGTTACGACAAGAGACCTCTTGGCTGACTTATGCATTCCTACTTTTCACTGACTTACGAAATTACAATAATCATGAATATACTACTGAATACAGTTATATTACTGAAATTTACCCGTTTTCTTTAAATGGCCACGCGACTGATCCATTCAGAACAACAAACACGTTACCAGATACCACTTGTGCATACTATGAGGAAACGAGAGGATAAGAGAAGTATTTCAATTTGGAAATAGCTCGTTTAACTTTCGTAGAATAAATGCAAACATCAAAATAGGACATTTTCTGATAGGTTTTATATCTCGTTTGAGCGACAAATGCTGAAAATGAGATAGGTTGAGCTTAGGAATACTTCTTTTATTTTCTACTCTGGAATATACAGCAAATAGGAAGTGAGATTCCAGTGTGTGTGGCTACAATTATTGTTCCAAACAAGCAAACAGTTAAAGTGCAAACATTTGAAAACACATTAAATGTCAGTGTATTGTCAAACGTTTTGTTCTCTCATCATTACTAGCGTGAAAGAAGAATTCAGCTTAGCACACTGGTGACATTAGGTGGCTAGAGGCAATCAGAAGGAAGCCTTGGATCTACATTTTGTGCTAGTTGGTACTTATCAGTCAGCAAAGCGTATCTGCAGTCACCTTAAAGTAACTCATGTCTCTTCCGAGATTCGAAACCGTGTCAGAAAGTGCTGCAGTCAGAGATGTTACCATTGAGCTATTAGGGCTCACAACTCACCTCCTGTTGGACTCTATTTGATATTTTTGGTTGGCTACTAGTTAATAACTAGTGTGATCACCATACTAGGTAGCTCGCTGTCATTGCCGAGTGCTAACAAGCACGAAACTTAGATTCAAGGCTTCCTGACGATTGTCTCCAACCATCTAACACCAACACTTCACAGTTCACCACGACGGTGAGCTACCTAGTGGCATGGTGGCTACATTGCAAACTTGACTGATAGAAATCAGTTTGCACCAAAACAAAGGACTAGACAATTCCATATTAGTTTGTTTATTAGGTATATCACACAGTGAAACAGTATTATTTACTGGATGACACAGTTTCGAACAAAATTTATTGTTCATAATCATCTCATCAATTGTTATCACACGACTTTGACACTTGAGTTTTATAGTTTTCTTTATTCCTTGCTATTCGTCGTCGTAGGGGTAGTAGAATTTTCCAGATACCGGGGACAGGTGATGAATCATTCCTATTACATGTATTCGCAGTTGATTCGATAAACAAAGCTTCTGTTATCGATCTCTCCCTCCACTCTGTTGTTATATTAGATTTTGAAACTGTCATCTTATCCCATCCATCCTATTGTATGGTTGTGTGTGACAGCATGTAGTGCTATAGCTGGACTATTCTCTAGATTTCTTATCTTATTCGGGTCAACCAATCTAGATTTTGTTTGTTTATTCCAAGGGAAAATATACAAACAAACTGAGGGAGTTGCCATGGTATCACCAATATCCCCAGTGGTAGCAGATATATTCATGGATAAGTGGGAAAGCATGGCGATTAAAACGTTCACCCCCACCCCAAAAGTATGGTGGAGGTACGTAGATGACACATTCACTGTACTTAGAACACAAAATATAGATAGGTTTTTCGAACACATCAACTTGAAGGTTGAAGCAATTCAATTCACTTATGAATTGGAAAATCAGGAAGGGGAGCTCCCAGTGTTAGAATGCAACGTAAAAAGGAAAGAAGATGGGAAGTTAAACACTAGTGTTTACAGGAAACCCACACATTCAGACAGATACTTGGACTTCCGATCATCCCATCCTATGTCAGTAAAAATAGGATTGGTGAAATGTTTAAATGACAGAGCACAAAAATTAAGTAGTACCGTAGAAAATCTAAAACAGGAACTGACACACATAAAGAAGCCTTGAAACTTAATAATTACCCGGATAAATTAGTCAGGAAATATGTAAGGAAATGTAAAAATAAAATAAATGATGATAGGAATCTAAATCATCAGTAGTAATTCCATACAAGGAAGGAACCTCAGAAACCTTACGCAGACATCTTAATAAGGCAGGAATAAAAACGGCATTCAAACCCACAAACTCAATTAGAAACAAGCTTTGTCGGTTAAAGGAACAATCCTGTGGAGCCTTTAAAACGAAACAATTTAGTTTATCTAATACCCTGCAATGATTGTCAGGTCAAATACATAGGTCAAAGTAGTAGAACAGGGGCAGTCAGACTAGCTGAACATAAAAACTTAGCAAAATCTAGATCAATTGACCCGAGTAAGATAAGAAATCTAGAGAAAAGTTCAGCTATAGCACTCACCACATTCAATTACACACAACTATACAATAGAATGGATGGTTTAGGATGACAGTTTTAAAATCAAATGTCACAGGGTGACGAGAGAGATTGATAACAGAAGCTTTGTTTATCGAATCAACTGCGAATACATGTAATAGGAATGATTCATCACCTGTCCCCGATATCTGGAAAATTCTACTACCCATTCGACAAATAGGAGAGAACAAAGAAATCTATAAAACTCAAGTTTCGAAGTCGCGTGATTACAATTGATGAGATGATTATGAACAATAAATTTTGTTCGAAACTGTGTCATCCAGTGAATAATACCTTCTCACTGTGTGACACATCTAATAAACAAACTAATATGGAATTACTTGCTACCACAGTGTCCAAGTTTTACACATATATTAACAAATTCATGAATTTTTTGTCTTGACGAAATGCTGGTCAGGACATTAGTAGTGTAACAACAGAAGACAAGGGCCAGGCAACAGATCGTTTATTACGAAAAATCAACACGTATTTATAGATTTTTATGTACATTATTGTAGGTCAATGTTAGTAGAAAATACAGTCTGTTGATTGGTTGTTTCTCGTACAAAGTTAACCTTGCATCTCCTGTGGCTGTGTCAGTTCATCTATATGTTAACTGTAACCGCTTGTCCACCTTGACCTTTGACCTCAATTACTGTCAACCAATTTGGCTAGTAGACCGCTCTCACCACACTCGTCCCCCCGTCAAATAGTTTGGACTGAAGTCGGCTCGGTCTTCTCGGTTCTTGGGGCTTTGCTCTGTTGTCTTGCTGTCTGGAATCTCGGCGCTTGCGGATGTCCACTTGTTTAACGGTGTTTACCATTGCGATTGTGTCTGCGTAACCCCATCTCAACGTGACCATATATGGTCCTTCCCACTTTGGAAACTGTTTGCCTGACCCTGTCGCACATTCGTAGGTATTTCGCCTCACACTTCCATATGCTGCTTTCTCCCGACCTCCCAGCAGCGTCCCAAGTAGCAGCCTTATCGCTGACAGATCTTGAACGCCACTCAACTGCGAATCAGCCTCAAAGTCCTGCCCGAAGATCCATATGTCTTCATCAAAAACTGCAGGGCATAGGCTTTCCATTTGTCGGTAGGCAGCGACACCAAATGTAACAACAGAAGACAAGGGCCAGGCAACAGATCGTTTATTACGAAAAATCAACACGTATTTATAGATTTTTATGTACATTATTGTAGGTCAATGTTAGTAGAAAATACAGTCTGTTGATTGGTTGTTTCTCGTACAAAGTTAACCTTGCATCTCCTGTGGCTGTGTCAGTTCATCTATATGTTAACTGTAACCGCTTGTCCACCTTGACCTTTGACCTCAATTACTGTCAACCAATTTGGCTAGTAGACCGCTCTCACCACAGTAGTAGCTGGACTTGCTTTGTTTGCACACAAAGCACTGATTGTTTCACGAGAATCGCGATAGCCTTTGCTTTTTGGAGTATGCGGTCCCTTGATGCTTTTGGCAGTTTATTGGGTACCCGATAGATGATTGTGGAGAAGTAGTCTTCAATGCTGGCTTTGTGGCCGGTCGGTTTGGACCAGGTGGTCTAATATCAAACTGTTGACGGTTTTTTCTACACCCTTACTTAGTCATACTAAGAGATGTTCCCGAGTGAGCACAAAAATCAAGTTCCTAGATCAATGGCCGATATATTTATGTTTGATCAGTCCTACCCTCGAAGATGAACATGATTCAATTCGATTTGCCTCGAAATGGATTCGATGTCTTCCTGACCTACATTTTCTGCACTTCTTGTTTTCCAGTGAATTCAAACACTTCTTATGCATCAATGACCAAACCAGCAGTGAATGTCGATTTTCAAGTTCTTCAAGACGTACATCATACACGCATCTACTGCTGTCAAGTTGTTTATTCCTGTATTACACTTTCAGTACCTTCAGTAGCATAAAATAATCCTATTCTTATTGACAAATGTTATTCAGCTATTCAGGTTTCACTTCTGCTGTTGTTTGTATTCAGCGTTCATCTTCCATAGTGTAAGACATCATTTGTTTGAATACTCTCATTTTTATAATTGAATCTTGTCATATTTGAGTTTGTGATAGCTTTTTCGACAAATCTGATCAGACTATTTTGTCATCTTTGTGATTTAATTCAACTGCGCTTCAATCTTTAACTAATTGAAATAAATCCATTCCATCCATTTTGTAAAATGTCTTGTACTTTTGCAATAATATCTTGAAGCTTGTCGAAACATAGCCTGTATCAGTAGGCTTTTTCTTCAAATTATCGAAAGTGGTTCTTAATTTAGTAACCACATAAAGCGGTGATGGCAGTGACTTGGTGAGTGTTCACTCGTATGCTTGAAAAATGATTTATTGTGAGAGTGTTTAGCACATGTCAAAGGAATATTCTTCTTCTCCCAAAACACTCTCAAGTACCGTGAGAGTGGGACAACAGTGAGCATGAATTTTGATATGACTGATCGATGAAAAATACATTTCTGTCATATAATCACCATCTTCTCAAGCCCAATGCTTCGAGTGAAATAATACCGACAAATCTTTAAATTTTGTTAGTAACTTATAAGGGAGTATCAACTACGTTGAAGTAAACCAGGCAAGACAATGAACACTGCTTCATATTTGATGCTCAAGCGATTATCATTTAGTATACACTAATAGGCATCGGTGGCACAGCGGTAGAATGCTAGCCAGCCAAGCTCCATATGGTCCGAGGTTCGATCCCCGGCCGCCGAAGTACTCCTTTACCTCACTAAGCCAGTAATAAGACTGGCAAAGAGGGAAGTTTGGGCATAAGTCTAGCAACCCAATCCCTTAAAAATTAACACCACTACTGCAGAAACTGGAAGTCTCTAGCTTGAAGCCCTGTGTTCCCGTGAGAACGCAAAGGAATAAAAAAAAATTCGAAATGTAATAAAAATGGTAAAGATGTACCTTTTTAGATGCACTTTCCCAGAATGCAAACACGACTTTAGTAGCTTGATTGCAACCACACGATGTCCCATAATCTGCATCACCGGTGAAATTTTTCTCACACCAATCCAGTTCGTCGAATAAATATCCTGAAATTAGAAAATTAGATCAGCTCATAATTAAGTGTGTTGTTGCTTGCTGAGTAATTATGTTGTAAGTGATCTGTTAAAAGTGAATATTCCAATTGAATAAATAATAAAATAATTCGCTTGCTGGATATATCACTCAGTGAAGTGTTATAGTTTACTGGCGCCGGGTTCAGGATGGTCAAGAATTCTCTGACCCCGGGTGAAGGCTCACCACTGCACCTCGGTGGGTTGAAAGTCGCGACGGACCCTAATCGGGTGAGCTCGGGCGTGTAGTTTTTGTCAGTGGGGAGGCCTCACGGTCCTCCCTTTATTGTGTGCGTCGGTGGCACAGCGGTTAGGACGCTCGCCGACCATGCACATGCTTCGGAGTTCGATACCCTGCCGACGCACACTTGATATCAATGGTCGGCCTGCAAAATTTGGGCTACCGATATAACATGCTGAAAATTCCATACTTGTACCAAAAATACAGTGTGGAATCAAGCTATAATCAAAATAAAATAAAATAACGTTTTGAACACGATTTTTGCTTCATAATCATATTAGTTCTAACCTACGAAAATCGAAATTCTGTTTTTATAGTTCCTATAGCGGCATATCACGAGCCGAGAGAAGTTAAAATACATTGGACTCTAAGTTCTCATCTTGTAGGTCGTCATTTGTGGGTTCACGGTTCGACACATGATGTCGCTGTGAATGAACACTGTCGAAGAGTCCTTAATTAGAACTGAATAGGTGTCCAGTACCCCTTGGTTATCACTGCTCCTCTAAATGATGCCAGTTTGTGACGAAATTCATCCTGAAGTTTAAGTGGTTTTGTCACAGTTCGTGAAAGTAGTTTATGCACTGGACAACATCGAATTAATGACATTTTTGATACATATCTCAGTTTTTACGAGTTTACCACTGACTGATATCATTTAGAGAACCATTGAAAACCAACAGGGAGTAAAGGACAGCTGTTTCATCCTAGTGCTTGAGAATCATCGGCAGTACACACTCACCACTTGGGTTCGAACCCAGGGCCTTCCGGTTACAAGACAAGCTCGTATGCAATTCAGCCACTGAGACCCAATTCAGTGGCTCATTTAATCGAGGTGAACCATATATATGTCTGTCACCTTCTGTCTTACTTTAGGACACTATTTCTTATTTCTAATTCACAAATTCTTTCTACGTTGAGGTTTTCGTTAAATGTACTTTGTCTACAGATATAGCACTATTTTGTTAACATCACCTTCTGACTTAATGAAAGCGTGGAATATATCGTCAAATAGCATGAATCAAGGAATATGTGTGTATATTTATTCACTCACCTGGAAGTGTGGTTTCTAGACTTGAACATTCTCCAAGACGTCTACACATTGCACGAATAACATCGAATGCTTGTGAATAAAAGTATGCCTGTAAGTGACATTTTAAAGGAAATGAGTGAATAATGAAATCCATGTAATGTAATGAAGTTAAAATAGATTGAAAATGGTTATTCTACTTATGTATTCCACTACTTAATACCACCACCTACATTCCTTTAATGCATAAGTGAATTTCTCACACGTGTAAATTCAAACTCCATCCATGGACTTCCATTCTATAGTTATTTAGTTAATGCCGAATAAGTGATGCAGGTATTCAATGAAACCAAATACTGAGAATTAAAATTTATTTGCTTAACATTAATGCTGTAGGAGACTGAATGTAAGACAATGACCAGAACTACTGATCTGATTTAGCTACGCAGAAAAGTTTGTATGTGAAGTGATCTCATTTGAACTTTGTGAAAATTATTTTTTTTTTGATGAATATTGGTTATTATTAAACAGTCCACCGGTAAATATTATCTATAAAATATGTTACAGAAGAAATGGCTTTTGTTTTACCAGTTGTTGGTTCCAATGACCGTTGCAAAATTGATGATAGCGAGGATATAGAAATCAAGTTTGAAGTTAAGTATCTTGGATTAATTCTTTCTACTGACCTATCCTGATCTTCACATGTCTTAGCGATTTCTAAAAGAATATTTCGTCTGACTATTTACATTAAGAAGTTAAGGCACTCAGGCATAACTCAACACCTCCTCTTACGGCTTGTCAACTCATGCATCCTACCTATTATTTTTTACTGTTCACGCTTACTTTTTCCTGGATTGCTTAAAAAAGACTATCTCATAATTCGTAGAACTCCGAAGACTGTCAGTGGGGCGAATGGTATCCCATTGGGCCATATCGTTGACATCGTTTTTGAAAGCACTTGATTTCATGCAACAAATTTGCTAAAGGAATTTTGTCAGACTGTGAGCATCCACTTTAAACCCAACTCCAGCCTTGTGTCTCCTCAGGTGAAACAAGAAGTCATTTCACAAGACTTCATGCACGTACGTCTAAGTATAAAAATTTCACTGTACCACATTTATCACGTATTTTATGTGACGAAAATAGTGTTAGGCATGAACTAACTAACCTTTCTCCCACTAGTAAATACACCATTTTCTCCATCCTTACAACATCAAACTTTATTGTTATTGTTCTTCTTATATTTATAATCCTCGCTATTTTTTTTGTTTCTATTTGTTTATTTTTTTATAGGTGTAAACACCATTTAAGCTGTTTTATAACTGTAAATTTTGTCTTTCCCCTTACCATACTGCTATATCAACAGAACATTAGATTCAATACTCTATAACATGCCGAAATTTCCAAAGTGAATCGACAATACTGTTTGAAAAAATTCACTGTTAGTATTATTATATTTAATATTCTAAATTCGTGCTTCGAATATGTTTGACTTTATATCGTAAATGTGGACAAATTCTTCTGGTTAATTTTGTTTTAATTTTTAATTTTATTTATATTTTGAGTAAATTAGATGCAATATTGTGACAAATGCTGAGAATTCCATACTGTATTATAAGTACTGTTTTTGGAATAAAGTAGATTATTATAATTATTAATATTATTAAGTTTTTCTTATTTGCACATATGATTATCCTTTCTTTTCCTTCACGTTCCCAGTGGAACATAGGGCTTCAAGCTAGAGCCAGCTTGAAGTTTCTGTAGCGGTGGTGTTAATTTTTTTAAAGGATGGGGTTGCTAGCCCCATGCCCAACCTTTCCTCTTTACCAGCTTTATTTCTGGCTTAGCGAGGTATGGGAGTGCGCCGGCCGGGAATCGAACCTTGGACCATGCACATGGTCGGCTAGCGTCCTAACCGCTGTGCCACCAACGCACAGGATTATCCTTAGTGAACCTGGAATTCTCGGAGCACATTCAAAAAAATCATGGGGTGAAGCTGTTCACAAATGTGTAGTTCTACCCCGCATCCGTTGTTAGGTCCAGTGAACTGCTGTTTCAACCTCCACATAGTTGCTGGGTCATTCGGCTGATGCTCAGGGGGGGGGGGCAGGAGTCTTAATTGAAAATTTTTGCGGAACATTTTCAGTTATCTTTAAACGAGCAAACATAAGACACAAAAATCACTGACACGTGTACCAAAAAGTTACTGATCTTTCTTGCAGTTATTTAGATAATTGCCATTGATCATTGAAAGCTATACTTTCAAGGAACCAGTACAGGGGATTACTGGAACATTTACTTCATATGTTGACACACAGCATGGTGACGTATAGAAAGTAATGTTAATCCTACTCTGATCAGCTACAATTCAGTCTGATTTTAGACGACCAGAAAGATGTGTACTCTAGGCCACAATACTCTGGAGTAAATATTCTATGTTTCATTCAGAAACATTCTGAACATGCGTGTAAACCGGTTTGTGGTTAATACTCAGAATGAATAGCACAACTTCAGACTGGACGTGAAGGATAAGTATTTAAAAAGGATTCTGTCTGTAAACACAAGGGATATGGAAACATCTTATCAGCAAAAGTAACAGTATTCTGGCGGTATAAGAAATGCGGTCTATATTGGTGTCCAGAATTATTACCCTACCAGAAATCTACGAGTATCCACAACATGTTCTCACATTTAAAAGCTGTGGGACCTATGAAGTTAGGGACGAAACATGAAAATTCTGTTTCAAGCTACTCTGCTATCCATGAGCAGGAGAATGAATACTTCCACATCGGATTCTTGTCTGAATTCACAATGGTATATATGTCGAGCATGATAGTGAGATAGCAGAGCTTACGTATTGCTTTCTGTAGTTGATTTGAAACATGCATTCAGCTAGATTCGGTGTGTTAACCACAGAGGATATACAGAACTGTGTTCTAATTCCTGGCGTGTTGGAATCGACATAAGGGAAATCAACCGTTTTTAGACAATCTTATGTATATCTCAAGTTTTAGTAATTACTTAATCGGCAAACGCAGCGCTATGAATTGAGTCATATTCGTATTCAATATTATGAAGATGAATAGAGATGACTTCGAAGATCGTTTTATTGAGGATAGTGCTGTCACTGAACACGAATGACATAAACAGATAGTAGAGCGTACGAAACTTAATTGTGGACAAAAGCTTATTTCAGAATTATTACACATGCATCTATCCAACAATAAACGTGATTCCTTCGACATATATAAATTATGGACCTTTAACAGGCAGATGGTTGTCGCTGGTATGATAACCCACAAATTTGGTGTTTACACTTGTTCTGCCTAAGATATTTCCATTAACTTTATCATTCTTATGTCTCAACACAATTTTCGTTAATTTTTTATTCCTGTACGTTCCCAGCGGAACATACGGCTTCAGAATAGAGGCCTGAAGTTTCCATAGCAATGATATTTATTTTTACTGGACTGGGGTTGCTAGCCTCATTCCCAACCTTCTCTCTTTATCAGTCTTATTACTGGCTTAGCGAGGTAAAGGAATGTGTCGGTGGCCGGGGATTGAATCGCGAACCAAATGAGGCGTGGTTGGCGAGCATTCTACCACTGCACCACCGATACACGTCTCAACACAATAACGTATTTAATTTCATGTTTTCGTCGGATGTTTATCTAGAAAGGACAGAGTAACATATCATAAAATATAGTTAGTTATTTAAAAATTTAGGTGAAATTTACATCTCAGAAGTAACGTCGCTGAAGTAAAATATCCACGTTACTAGGTGAAACTTTTGTTCTGCTAAGTTGAGTAGACATTTTCAAGCAATAAAACAATTGTTTAGTTCTTAAGAAATTTTCCTAAGCGCGTGATGAAAAGCATCCACAACAAGCTTCAGACTTCAGGCTTTATCGATAACTGCCGTCACTGGAGATCAGAATGAATTAGTAAGAAGAAACTATAGGAAGGAACCAATCAAGAACCTATTGCCTACCCAGCAAATATGCTGAAGAAAACGGAGATGGATCGGGCACACTTTAAGCAGATTGCTGAGTGACATAGCATGCCAGGCAATCACTCAAATGGAAACAGGATGGGAAATAACGAGTTGGGCGTAAGTCTGAAGGTGACATGGGTGAGATCGTGAGAGGAGGAGATGAGAGGCTATGGCCAATCGGGGGGCCACCTAAAGAGGACCATGGAGAATAGGATCTTCTGAAGCCCAATGTTCCACTGAGGACCCAAGGGAACAATAATAATATTAATAATTAGTTAAAGATTAACAAATCGACAGCAAACGTCGGAAATAGCTTCACAGCATTTTCTTATAAATTATCAGGTTAATTTGCATTTTACCTTCTTCAGTGAGTCATATTTCATTATTACTCTCAATAATAGATATTAATAGTTCGAAGAGTGGGAAAGATTATATTTTAATTTACTCAGTACTAAATGATATTCACCACACACTGGAAGATATGTAAGTGAAAAGCAAAAAGTTGGCAGAAGAAGCATCGAACATAGGAACTCCTTCAGATGAACATGTAGAAAATAGAGGTGATGAAAATTCCTGACCAACAGCCACAGCAACAACAACAGACAACAATTAGCATAAATGGGAGAGACCTGAAGGAAACAACCTCCTTCATCTACCCACCTAACCAACTGGGAAGCATCGTTTCAGCTACAGGCGGATGTAAGTGGTGAGGATCGGGAAAACAAAGCAAGCTTTCATTCCTCTCAAGTTTGTGTGGAGGTCAACAGCACTCAGCATGAAAAATTAGATCCAGATTTTGAACTCCAATGTGAAGTCAGTCAGTGCCACAATACGGATCGGAGACTTGGCGCGTCATGAAGAGCACCTCAAACAAACTACAGACTTTCATCAACAGCTGTCTTCGCTCAAAACCCAAGATCACATGATAGGCCAAGAAAGATCAGCAATAGTGAGGGATCTCTGGAAATGAGCGAACCAACCCAGCAGGAACCAACTGTGCAATAAATATTCAGGAAGAAATGGAGGTAGACTGGACGTACTCTAAGAAAGCAAACCATCAATTGACATCACATGCCAGATCATGACTCAAGTGGAACCAGAATGGGAAGCAGTGAGTTAGTTTGTCAGTGCGAGGGTGACATGGAGTGGAGAAAGTGATCTGAAGAGGAGATGAAAACGTGTGGACAGACGTGGAGCCAGGTGAAAACATTGGCAGAGAACCGAACGCAATCGATACGTGTGGCTGAAGCCCTATGTTCCTCCAGGAAGTAAAGGAAGCAATTATAAAAATAATAAATGACATTCACCACAAATAAATTTATCCAAAAGAAAATACCTTCATGCGCCACCTGAGGCTGAATAACTGTTAAAATGGTGATGTGAAACTAAGGTAAGCGACCACATGCTCTTTTTCAAATATTCACTGTTTTGTGGAAATTAAATGTTAACCAGTGGATATTTTTTGAATGAACACCAATTTAGGCACTCTGATTTCATGTTTCCAATGGTAAAATCGCATAAAATTACTTGTGCTCAGTTTTGTCAAAATATGTACGCTTACTAAAGCAATACTTAATACTTGAAAAATATTAAATTAAAGACATATTCAGCGAAGAAAATTTTCTTTATCGACGAAATCATCTTCAGAGGCTGTACAATCGTATTTATACTTGCAAAAATATATAGTGGTCTATTATTGAGTAATAGGGTGACATAATTGATATAATTAATCAGAATTGGCTTTAGAAGTGAAAATTAGAAGTTGTAAATTACGTAGTACTCAACGGCAAAAAGATAGAAATTTGATAAGGTTAAAATTGCTATTAAGTGAGAATAAAGGTACTTGAGCGTCAATTTAACAAGTGTGAAGAGGGTGTGAAAATACACAAAAGGAACATATATGAAAGTGATAATAGTGAATTAATTATTAAAGTAATTTTCAACTTCTAATTTTCACTTCTAAAGCCAATTCTGATTAATTATATCAATTATGTCACCCCCTATTACTCAATAATAGACCACTATATATTTTTGCAAGTATAAATACGATTGTACAGCCTCTGAAGATGATTTCGTCGATAAAGAAAATTTTCTTCGCTGAATCTGTCTTTTATTTTCTTCATGACTCAATGGGTATTTTCGGTGATATTAAATTAAGATGAATCTTCTATGTATCTTGAAATGAATGAATAGTCAGACAGAATTGCTTCTCACAAGGCTTTACATTGCATATACACACATTTATTACAAACTGAAGGTGACGTACGTGTACTTACATTTTCTATCTTTGGTTGTTGTTTGAATGCTTTCTCGACAAATTCATCGTATGCTGTGGGTTGCATAACACATTCTGACTGATTACGCGCGTCATGTAAAATCTTTTCAAACGATTGCCACAATTCATCACAGTCTATGCTTTAGATTGATTGAAAAGGAATCAATTAAAGTGCATATGAATGACATTTTGGAATTTCATGATTGAATGGTGATTATTATTGTTATTATGAGTGATTCAGATTATTGGGTGAGAAACAGCTTCTAATTAAGCGACAGTGTTTAACTTCACCACCGACAAGTGACGTATCTCTCCTCTAATCAGAAATTATACTGTCAGAGTAGACCTTTCTAAATGCCTTAACAACGTTTTGTCATCATGAGGGAGAATGTTCAACTTTAATGTTACGTGGTTCTAAGCATCAGTTGGAACTGAAGAAAAGCATCCATAGGTTGACAGTTATTCGTATTCAGTCAGCGATTCACGAAGTGTTTCGACTTTTCTCAGCATCCGGATAAAATCTGAGAGCCTGAATCACCTTTATAGGTGGATCAAATATCCTGATGTACAAGAGTTAGTTGCTTTTTTTGTCTTCAACTAATTTTTGTATTCTTCAAATAATAATAAAGTGAAAACAAAATATGTTTTCATTTTTGACTACATTTTCACCATGTTACTTAAAATATTAATTGAGTAGTCTCCAGTATTCTCCTATAAATCTTAGTGAGTGGAAGATGAATTGATCGATTTTTCTTTTATAAATGTTCCATTGACATTCGCAGAATCAAAAATTTAATCACGGTTCAGAATTCAGAAACAGGAATTTCACTTGGTTCTACGAATACTGACATGTATCAGGCTTGTTTAATTATTACTATGAATTTTACGAGTTGATCAGGGATTGATACCATTTAGAGAACCATTGAAAACCAACAGGGAGTACTGGACAGCTGCTGTTTCATCCTAGTTTGGGAATCATCGGTAGTACGCACCCACCGACAGAGTTCAAACCCAGGACCTTCCAGTTACAAGGCAAGCAAGCTCGTATACAATTCAGCCACTGGGACGGGATTCAATGGCTCATGAATTCTAACTTCTACAAATACGTGGTTTAGCGCGACCCCAACCACTGTCGTTGGTGGGACATCCATCTACACACGTAACATCTAATCGGACCTCACTGGTCACGACTTCTCACTAGAACTCCAGGAAACTCCATCCTGTAGCAAGTCATTAGCAAGCATCAAATTAATTTTCTATAGTTTGGTTTGTAAGGGTTAGTAATGAATGCAAGCGAAATATTATATTGGAGAAGATTTGTAGCTCAGGTGGGGGATTTTTATGTATTTCTGTTCTCTGAGCTGGATGGTTTGTTTGCGAAGCTTTCACTTTTGAAATATGTTCTGAAGATGTTGCCTAGTAGGGCAACGAAAGTTTCGCAAATAAACCATCCAGGTCATAGAACACAACTACATCAAAAAGATATGTTATATAAATACCTTCGGGATATGCGTTACAGAGGTATTCATAGTGTCTCGTTAAATTTTCAAAACCAGATCAGTGTAAGTGGTACTATCGCTTCAAATAAACTCGATCGCCACTGTATACTTAATTGGACATATAACTTCTGGAATAAGTATAATAAATGATTGAAATCAAGGGCGCCTTAAACCACTGTAGGAATGAACTACTGCGGCTAAGAGAATAGCACAGGTGGAATCAATAATTTTCACTAGTCACTGCAAAGGAGACTGTCAAACAAACTGGGGAAGTAAATAATCTCTTGAGTGATATGTACAGTAGCTCGAAAACTAATTTTCGGGAAGATATTCACATCTAACATTGAAAATCTGAGATTTCAGGAACATACCAACCAAGTTTCGAATCAAGTGGAGAGACAAAAGTTAAACTTTATTAAAATGCTTCAACCACTATACTTTATGATATAGACAAAAGTGTGCCTCAATCAAATACGTCATATTTTGAATGAATATACAACTGTTAAGAATAACTTACTCAAGAACATTATGTTCAATGGCCCATTGAGTGCATCTGGCTTTGACTGTGTCAGCGAAATAATTCCTTTCTAGCTGCTCTGAAGAGCAAATAGGCAATAAATTAATCGACAACGACAGTAACAACAACAGCAATAAAAAGCCTGAGCATTTATTCATCATGGATTTCTTGACTTGATCAGGCTAAACAGAGTGGAGCGATTGTGCAACATAAAGATATATATGTATGTGGTTGGAGTGATCAAAGTCCGTTTCGTCAAATGAATAGAATGATATAATTCAGCGTTAATTGTGTCGTTGTGTTCAAAGTGTGTGTGCATGTGCATGAGTGTTTGTGTGTAAATTACCATACTTATATTATCATGTGGTATAAATTATTCATGCAGCACGAATATCAGTCCCCTGGTGGCTTACACTTCTACACTTCTACTTCACTGTTTATTGGTCATATTCAAATTTGATAGGCGGAATTCGATACAGTTATGATGGACAGGAGTTCCTTGATTGGTCATTGAGGGACTTTGGTGTAGTGGTTTATTATTATCAAACCATTTGTTATATCTACTGTAGCTTTATTGAAATGTTTACCTTTGAACATTGGTCATTATAAACAAGAATACCTCTTGAATGAAATCAATACTTTTTAAGTTAAGTGGAGTATAGAAGGAAATAGAAATTATTATTGAGAAAAAAGTTGAACTTGAGATTCCGTAAATTATTCATATTTTAGCATACGTAGTTAATGCATTTCTGCAGCTGTCAGTTGACATTATTATTCAAGTATTGGTTTGTAGGGATTTGATTCAATGGTTACAGGATTTCATCATGAGCTAACATCGGTTAGAGAACCATTGGAAAACAAGCTAGGAGTTCTGGACAGCTGTTTCGTCAGCCTGGTTTGGGAATCTTCAGTAGCACTCACCCGATGGGGTTCCGACCCAGGACCTTTTGGTTACAACACGGGTGAGCTAGCTCGTAAACCACTAAGCCACCGGGACCCAATCCAATGGCCAGTCTATGAATTCTAACTTCTGCCAATTCACAACATAGCGCAACCTCTAGCCAACGTCTTCAGCGAGTATTTGTCCTGATACCCGACCTGCCACACCCTACTGGTCACAACTATCCACTAGAACCCAGGTAACTGCCTACCTGAATAGGGCCAGTCGCTAGTGAGCATCTCATTGATACTCAAGTATTGACAATATTGTCAGTGGAGAATTCAGTTGGTGGACTAGCTGAACCAACATGCGTGAAGCGTAGCGTAGTGAGACATTCTCAGATTCAACCAACAACATGAGAAATAAGGCGAATCGTACTATCATACAAAAACCTAAATTTAATCCTGTGCGATTAAGTGTAGCAGAATGGTTGATCTGTAAATCTCTCCATAAAGAACACATTCAGAATCTATTCAATCTTACTCATTTGATATTTCAACTGGTTATGCGATTACTTCATATAAGGTAAGTTTATTTGATATAACACATAGTGATACAGTACTAAGAAAAACTGTGTGGCTTTTCGAGCACAATTTATTGCTAATAATCAATATTAATTTGCAAATTTTGAAGTCATGTGAATAAACCGATGTGAAATCATTAAATATTCCCATTGTTAATATCAAAAACAAGACAGGCAAAAAATATTGAGCATCTTCTTTCACGGTTCAGAAAAAGCTAAATGAAATCTTTAAGAAGTTCTACTGTGACTCATCGGATTGATAGCGGTCACCAAGTAGACAGAAGAAATGCCTTCAAGGTTATCTATCACACTCCATGTAACCTTTCGTATATAATTCGAACCTGCTTTCTACGCGAAGCTGAAGCTATGGAACTTCGAGAGAACAGTTACAGCCTTTGTCCAGAAAAGACGTTTCTTCTACCTCTGTGTCTCCCTTAGCCTAGGTGGATTCTAATTAAACTTCCCACCACTCCTTATTCTTCATTTCTTCTGTACATTTGTAATATTTATATACACTATGATTGTTTATCCCCTTCCCTTTTAGCATTACATAATTTCTAAGATTCGACCTGATTTATTTATTCAATTGTTCATAGGGAATAAAAAGACAGTTGCAGCGAAGAAAATTTTCTTTTCGACGAAGTCATCATCTAGGCTGTACATTCGTGTATTTATATCAAATGGATGGGAAAGTTCCAGAACAATTACTGGTTAGGGGTTGAATTAATAAAAATTACAATTAGGAATTAGAATGCCATAATAAACAGGGGGATGGGTAAAACTAAAACAAAGTAGCATAATAACTAAGAAAATTGACATTGTGCAATTGGGGTTAGAAATGTAAAAATAACAAAATATGCAGGATGTTTGGATAAGAAACTCGTGTGGTGAATAATTGTTTATGCAATCAGGGATTAAATATGTAGAGATAATAAAATGACAAAATAAACAGGAAGTGTGGATATGAAAATATGGTAGTGTAGACAGGGATTAAGAAAACTTAAAATAACATGAATAAACAGGAAGTTTAGATAAGAAAGGCGATGGGATGGTCATTATTAAAAAATTTACCTGTTTACGATGGCCATGGCAGGGACAGGGGTTGGATGTATTTCTTTTGGATACAAAGGGTGGGTTTGAGTTTTTGGATAGCTAACGCCTCAGCTATGCCCAAATGTCTTGATTTCACTCCCTTTGGTAGGTTTGGTTGAATCTTGTATATTACTTTGAAGGACTTTTCGAAAGGCGCTGAATGTCCTGAGTTGACCAGATGTTCTGTCACTGAACTGTTTACACGTTTTTGCTCTCCTTTTACCAGCCAGGCTGGGTAGTGTTCACGAGCGCGTTTTCCAAGTTGGCGCATGGTACGGCCGATGTACTCAGCTCCACAAGAGCAAGTGAACTGGTATATGCATGTTGAGGTGGCCCAATGCGACAGCTTGTCTTTCGCGTTCTGGTTGAATAGTTTCTTGCAGGAAAACGTCAGTCGTAGGCTTGCGGCGAAGTATGTTTTCCTCAGCGATTTGGAGAGGCGTTTGCGAAGGATTTCTGCTTCGATATCACCTTTGAATTCTAGATTGAGCAGAAGTATTTTCTTTGGGACGGATTGGACTTGTTCTGAAGTCTTCTTCGGTTTGAGATTCTTGTCTATGAACCTGGGCGGGAAACCGTTTTCCATCAGGGTTTTTCGGAGATTACGCAGTTCTTCTTCGATCACTTCCTCGCTGCATATCTTCCGAATCCTCGAGGAAAGAGCGTGTATCAGGTTCCTCTTTCTGCTTAGCGGCACGAAGCTTTGAAAGTTGATGAATTGTCCAGTCCATGTAGGCTTTTTGTATATGGACCTTTTCAAAGAGTCGTTTTCATTTCTTGTCAGATGGACGTCCAGGAAGTGGAACATTCCATCGGATTCGGTTTCAAGTGTAAAGTCGATGTTTGGGTGGGCATTGTTGAAGGTTTGAAGTAATTTTTCGAGGTCCAGCTTCTCATCACAAATGACGAAAGTATCATCAATGTATCTCTTGTAGAGATGAAGGTCGTCGATAGTTGATGATAAGGGGTTGTTTTCGAGGCTGGCCATAAAACAGTCGGCTAGGAGTGGTCCGAGTGGCGAGCCCATTGCTACGCCATCTGTTTGTCTGTAGATTTCATTGTTGAATCTGAAGTAGACGTTGAAGGTGCAGCGTAGTAACAGCTCCTTTAGATAATGCATCGGTATGCCAACATCTATGCTGTTGCATTGGATGAAGTCACACAGGAAGCATATAGTTTCTGTCAGAGGAACATTGGTGAACAAAGAGACGACGTCTAGGGAGACCATCTTATTATTTGCGAGGTTGACATTTTTAATTGAATCCACGAAATCGAATGTGTCCTTAGTTATTATGCTACTTTGTTTTAGTTATACCCATCCCCCTGTTTATTATGGCATTCTAATTCCTAATTGTAATTTTTATTAATTTTGACCCCTAACCAGAAATTATTCTGGAACTTTCCCATCCATTTGATATAAATACACGAATGTACAGCCTAGATGATGACTTCGTCGAAAAGAAAATTTTCTTCGCTGCAACTGTCTTTTTATTCCCTATGATCAAATGTGTATATTCCGTGATTATTCCATTGTATACAAATACACACGCTACCTTCGTTGTCTTTATCGCCACCAGCATAAACACCCATTCCCTCTATCTTATTTAAGGGATTTATTACTTCTATGTACTAGCAATGTTAGGTTTACATTTAAAGGCGATTGTTTATGTCAGGTTGATGGTGCTGCTACGGGAAGTCTGTTAGGGCCCCTTCTAGCAGATATCTATATGTTTTACATTGACAGTTTATTGGAAATGCAGCAATGTATGGAAGAGTTGTCGACGATATTGTAACCATAAGTGATAAGCCTTGTTCTGCCATCCCAATTTTAAATCGAATGAATGAAGTTCAGAATAGCATATCACTTACATCTGTCTGCAGAAGAGGAAAATAACAGTTTATCTTTCCTAGACATACTGCTTATTCGACGGCTTGATGGGTCAATAAAAAGATCTATTTATAGAAAACCTACCTGGACAGAATAGTATATTAATTATCACAGTTTCTGCTCTGTTCGGTACAAAAGAGCCTGAGTGAGTGAAGTGCCTCTTCAGTAGAATCCAAGGAATATGCACTGAAGACACACTTGATGAAGAAGAAAGAAAGTTGACACAAACTCTGGTTGATAATAATTATCTAGACAAGTTCATTAGGAGACATAAAGTGGTCAGAACACTGAGAAACCCACTCTCCAACTTGGCTCTAAGAAAGACGTGTGCATCAAGCTACTCTATGTGGGTGATTATAGCAGCTTGACAACTTGACAGAAATTGAACGCTGTTGTGGTTAAAAAGACTTTTTTATGTAACTAAAATCATAAAAATTTAGAATGTGAAGCTTATATATCTATCTAGGTCCTCTGAACATGAGGAAAATGATGTCACATCCCACTGTATTTACCAATTTGAATATAGGTGTGGACGCACACATAGGGGGGACTCATCGATCTCTGCAAGTAAGGGCTTCAGAACACGTTCCTAAATGGCTTCAGAAGCAAACAGAATCCCCAGAACTCATTAATTGTGAGAACAGGAGACCTAGCGCCTCTATTGCCAAACATATTATAGAGACAGGACATAAAATTGATTTTTACACGTCATTTACACCTATCTATAAAACGTGTTTGGGGTTTATCCGAAAGTTTGTAGAAGCCCTAGCTGGCAATTCAGAAGTTTAAACCACCCTTATGCGATCAAAGCAACAATTTTTCATCACATTAAACCTTGCTTAGTAAACTTTGCTTTGA